CCCGACTCCCCCACCTACGGCGCGGAGAAACCCCTGCGTGTGCCTGAGCCGGGGCCCGACTCCCCCTCCCGCGGCACGGAGAAACCCCTGCACGCGCCTGCGCCAGGGCTGACTCACCCCTCCCGCAGCGCGCCCGGCATGCCACAGACCTGTGGGAGGGGAGCAAGCAGGACTTCTGTCCACCCTGCGGGAAGCCAGCACTATCTCCATTGTTGCTGGAGGTAGGTAGTGGGGCTTCTTGGGGATGGGGGCAAAATGGGTGGATAGGGGGGCGAATGCCTCGCGGTCGACTGGTCGAGGCCTCGAGATCGACCAGTTGATCGCGATCGACCGGTTGGTGACCACGGGCCTAGAGTAATCTTTCCCAACTATAAAACCATAAGCATAAGAAATTATTTTAAAACTTACAATGTTATTCTACATTTTTTTAAATAAGTAGTCCTGTGGCACCGTAGAGACTAACAAAAATATATAGTATTATGAGCTTTCATGGGCAAAACCCCCTTCATCAGAAAAGTTCATACTGTATATTTTTGTTACTGTCTATGGTACCACAGGACTACTCGTTTTTAAAGTTACAACTAACATGGCTACCCCTTTGATACATTTTTGAAGTAAAACTGCTATAATTCTATCTGCCAACCCAATCAAGCTTCAACTCAATGTATTTACGTATTCTTATATTAGCACCGATGAAATAAATTCTATTTACTCTCATATCTCCAGATTTGCCACACAGAATACAGTTAAAGTAATATCTGAATGAAAGGCCTTCATTACAAACAAAATGTATGGAATATAACTATGTCCTTCTCATCTCTGTGCCTTGTACCTCTCACCTAAAACCTCTAATCAAGTAACTTGCTGCCTTTCTTGACAAACATTTTTAGGTTGTGGTGCTGTGGATTCAAGTTATGCAAGTGTTCCCTGTGACACATTACAACGTTAAAAAACACTAAAAGCATTACACAACACTGCAATTTTTCACAGCACTGACTCTTCCCCCTGGAACTGTGTTGCTTGTACTCCCCAAACACCTCTGATTAAATACATTAATTCAACTGGCTGCATACATTGCATGTTTTTTTAATTTAATCTTTAAGTTACCATAAACTATCACTATCACCTTCACTCTGAAATGTTAATATGCTTGTTTTAAAGAACTTGTAGAATTTTCTTATTCCATTAGAAGAAATGAGAAAAATGTCTTCAATTACTGCAAAACGTGAGCACTAAACTTCAAACACATCCAAGTTATTTGTGAACTAGTGAACTGACAGCTCAAAATATTTAATATTTGATAGTGTTTTTAGCTTGCAAGAAATCTAGCTTACAGCAGTGAAAAACGTTTACCTTATCCTCCTGGAATTAAATCAGCAAGCAGGAAAAAAGAGAAACAATTAATCAGCAAATTCTGTTCCTGCCATAGCTGTCCAAACTAACAATAAAAAATTATCAGCAAACTCATTGTCCATTCCACTGGCCACCTTTTTATTTCTTTGTACTCAAACAAGTGTGAAAATAACACAAGCACCTCGCAGTTAGAAATAAATTTAGTCTAAGATTGATTTATCATATTTAAAATATCACAGTAACTGGTTTTGTACTAATTATAACTAATTATGCTAAAAATTAAGCCACAGGTATCACAGACTCTCAGGATATTTAAAATCACCTCTTTAGAGTAGAGGTGGGGGAGTGTAACTTCCACGGTCAGTCCCTGGTGGGCTTACCTAGCTCTGGATAGCTTAGTCATCCAATCCAATTACCATATCTAGACCCATCAACAGGGGGAGGCAAAGGGGACAGTTGGCCTGGTGATTCCAAAGGGCCAGTGGCTTCTGGCTGGTGCTGATACTGTGACAGCGGCAGCAGCCAGAGCACCAGATCTTTTAAATTGCTGTCAGAGCACTGTGTTCTAGGCAGAACTAAGGGCCGAGGGGATGCCATGCTTCGGGCAGCACTGAAGGCTGGCTGCGTTTGGCCCTGCTTCTTCCATGCCACCCATTTTTCCTTAAAACCTTTTCTCTCCATAATTAAAGTGGAAGCTATCATTCCCCTATAATCCACACTACTTCCAAATATCCTCTTCAAAGTCTTCTGCCTCCTAAGGGAAGTATTAAAACCGTGTGTATTTGTTCCGCAGACTTATTCCTACTGAGTTTGTGATCTTGTCATCTGTCTATTAAAGAGACTCATTTTCAAGGAGAATGAAAAATGGAACTCTTCTATTATGAGAGACTCACCTCTGTATGCCTCATTGGTACCTTCAGCTATCATGACAGTGGCTACCTAGCAACCATGTCTTTCTAGTCTAGACAGCTGTGTGTGTGTGTGTGTGTGTGTGTGTGTGTGTGTGTCTGAACTATGAGCTGGGGGATCGATAAGAGGATTTCTGCAAACTGTGGTATGTTTGCCAACTGAACTAAATATTCATTAGGGGATAGTGCCACTCGTGTTGTGTCACACCAACAGGCAGTTGGCAGTGATTTTGCACTGCTAACAGAGTAACTAATTCAAATGATGGGGGTGCTCTGAACTTTCTGCAACTGGAAATGTGCTGTATTTCTATCAATGCTCTTCAATTATTTTTGCTGACAACTTCTAAGTACGTCTAGGCTTAAAGATTTTGTATGAATAAAGTTAAACCATTAAGCATGCACTGAGAAGTCAGGGGAAAGAAATACTATTGACAGCTAAACCAAACTTTAAATTCCCTTCTTTGCCAATTCCTCACGTGAATAATCATCTGAAGATCTTGGCCAAATATCAATAAATCAGCCCTGGTCTGGCCAACTAAAGATATGTTAAAGAAAACTGTTGAAACTAGTCCAGTTAATGGGCTCTCTCCACTTTGGCCGATTCTAATTTTGTGTGCTTGTAACTATCCCTGCTCACCCCTGGAGAGGCTTTAAAGGACCATAGATTGAGCCAAACAAGTTTTCCTCCCCATCACAAAACTCTCACTAAAAAAATACAGGTTGAACCTCTCTAGTCCAGCACTATCTGGTCCAGCAACATCCCTGGTCTGTCATGATTTAGTTAGCAGGGTGTCTGCTTATCATGGATGGGGCCAACTTTCCCACAAAGTTTGTTTACAGCCACCAGTCCTGACTCTCAGTGTTATTTAACTCTAACTCATCTCTAAATATATCTTGTAAGGGCCCAGCAAGCAGTGGAAGTGTTGGTAATGCTGCTAGGCGTAAACATTTTTTTATGCTTTACGTACTTACTTCCTTGTGTCAATACAGTAAAATTGTATAACACTAACACTTTGTTATGAAGAGAGCTAGTAACCCTTGGCTAGGCGTAGGCTTATATAGAGTGTACCGGTACAGTCCCAGATGATTATTAAGTAGTGCTGCAAGCTTCAACCACTTTATTCGCCTTCGTGAAATAAAGCGAGACTAGTTCATTTTAATATTGGCCTTCACTGATTCCACACTGGTCATGTCCTGAGGGTGCCAGACTAGATAGGTTCAACGTGTAGTAGCTTTACTGTTGTAATTTAACCTTACTTCCCAGGATATCTGCAGGCTCTTACTTACCTTGGGTTGAATAGCCTCCTTCTGACTCACCAGCTGAGACCTCAGGATGAGGACTTCTTCCTTGCGCACCTCCAGCTCCTCACTCACAGAGGTCAGCTGTTCCAGGAGGACTCTATAGGCAGGAGCACCAGGAGCAGTCACCTCTGGAGAGCCCTTCTCCATAAGAGCCTTCTGCAACTCATTCAGCTCATTCTTCAGCTTTTTGTTCTCAGATTCAAGTTCTTGACGCTGCCAAAGATAAGGACATCCCCATCACTTAGCAGAAGCCCCTCTTCTCCTCTACTACAGGTATAGAGAAATACCAACCACAGGATAGAAATGTTAAAACCATGAGTAACTAGCAGGAAAATCTCTCCCTTTTCCCCAATCTCTTTGCCATAGGAACAGTGCCAAGGATTTCACGACTTGGTCTACCTTCTGTCTGAAGTGCTAAACCAGAAACATTTTACCCCACTCTCCTCTGGCTACCTCCATAAAGGCTCAGCTGAAAAATCTCCACTAATTTCTTTCTCTTCTCTACTCTTCCCGTGCCAGAAAATGCTGAAAGAATTTGTATTAGATCCATGCCAGCTTGGTAGGGCTATCAACATTCTGCACTGTTCAGAAGATGCTAGCAGCCAGTGGCTCTTTCAGATGGTCCTGGAACATAACTGCCTGTTTGGTTTGGCCCACCATATGCAACAATATCAGCAAAACCGGAGGCTGGGTTCACTGGCGTATTTATTATACAACGCAACCTTAAATCCAGTTTAACTAGCCTGCAGAGAAGCCCCCTGTGTATAAGGAGCAATTCCAGTAGCATGGTCCCCTGCTATGCTTTCCTACAGCACACAGAGGACAATTATGCACTCAAGTGTCTATTGAGGAGGCTCCCTCTGTTTCTTTCTCCGGATGACTTACATCCTGAAGCAGGAGAAGAGATATTACTTACAATCCTACCTAGTGTAACTGCTGATAATGTTCTTACTAATCCTTTAAATACCAGAAGCTTCATATCCAGAATTACCTTGAGTGACTCATACTCTAGTTCTGCGCCTCTCATTGGGGGCCTCTCCTCCTCCTAAGAGAAAACACAGACAAAAGTAAAAATAAATTCCATCTTTCATCTGTTACTAACAGGAGTCAAGGCAGAAAAAGGAAAATGTGCATTTTGCTGTCATGGTGGGAGTTAAAGCTATCCTTCCTGAGCACTGAATTATAGTGTGTTTAGCCCTATACCTCTGAGCATTTTGTGTGATGTGTTTACATTGCCTCATTTCATCTACTTATTGTGATAATCATAGATAAATAAAATCAGGTGCAAATCAGTAAGTTATTTGAATACAGACAGAAAATCTATTCTAAATACTGAATGCAAAAAAGTTCAAGAAATCCATCAACAGAAAGGAACTGACAAACAGTTACCAAAATAGGATTCATATTTCTAGAAGTATTTCAAGAATGTAAATCAGAGGAAAGCCTAAAATATCCCTTAGGGCTGAACAATTGTAAACGATGGATCTGAATCCAGATCCAAACACTCTGGCTTGATTCTTCCTGTACGGTAAATACTGAAGAGAATGAGGAATTATTTAAATAGAGTATTAAGTGTCAGACCACTTAAAGCTAGAGTCACAATTTTCAAGGGGATTACCCTCAGCTTCCACTGAATTTAATAGTGGGTTCCTTGAGCAACTTTGAAAAAAATAGAATCAGTCCACTCCTCCCTTTTTGGTTTCATACCAAAAGTAGTTGGACCAATACAAAGATATTACCTCACCTATCTTGTCTTTCTAAGATCTGTCCATTTATTTTAAAGGCCACAACATGGATTTAGGAGCCCGAGTTTAGGTACTATGGCTTGTAACTTTTGGCCAAACAAAGTAAGAACTAATGAAATAGATGGTTTTATGGAAGCTGTTCGGCAGACAGCACTGTCTGTATGTTACTAGGTGGGAACAATCTGAGGGCTTCATGTGACTGCCTAAATGCAAGCTACCCTTGTCTTGGTGCGGAGAGCCTGTTCCTCCTTCCTGTCCAATTCATCCTGCAAGGATTGCTTTTCCTGCTCCAGCTCTGTAACCCGTTTCTGCAGCTTGAGGAACAGAGACATGTCCAGCGGTGGCTTTTTCTCACTTGGCTCCTGCTTGAGCAAGAATACAGCAGAGTCATGCAGTGTCATCATCCCACGTCAAGAGCAAAGGATATTGTGAGAAGAGAGGGGAGAAAGATTGAGGAAAGAGAAACATAAGGAGCATACATACGTTATTTTATTCTGAGAGCTGCAAACTGGCACCCAAACTGTATCACTAACCTTCAAAAGGTGATTTTAAAAGGAATTGACTAGTATAATGGGTATCTATCCTAGAGCTTTAAAGGCAGAAAGAACTAGATACTAACTCTAAGTCATAAAGTCTAATTAATCATACCTCTTTTTCTTACTTGTTTGGAGGGGGGAAAGGAAAAAAGAAATAAGTTTGTGGTTAGATTCACTGTGAAACAAACTAAGTACAGGCAAACTTCTAATTTTTTAAACTATTATTGTTAGGTTCTTTAGTTAAAAGCAACGTGTTACATAATTTATTTACACCCACCATTAAGCAACTCAATAAACTGGGGTGAGAAATAAAGAGTTGCCAGAAGAAAATGATTAGGGTACATCCAGCAGTTTCTTGCCCTTTTTTCGTGTACTGGTTGGACCTCCTTGGTCTGGCACCCTCAGAACCTGAACAGTCCCAAAGGAAAGAGGTCCGGCCTCTGACATGATTGTGGAGGGGAGGGGGAGGAGAGCAGTTGGTGGAGCCCTGCAAATCTGTGGATATCTGCTTTATATTTGAGGGTATCTGCATCCGCAGATGTGGATGCGGATATCCACGGGTCATTTTTGCGGATGCAGATACAAATTTTGCATCTAGAACCCTGATAATTTGCAGATATCCATTTTGTATGCATTGGTATCCACAGCTCATTTTTACAATTACAGAAATTTTGTATCTGCACAGAGCTCTATAAATAAGGCTGCCAGCCAATGTGAGAAAAAACATTTGGCGCTCATGAGAAATGCTATTACATGCCTTTATACACGACAGTTTCCATCTATCCATAGAGATGAGGTATCACTATGCCAATGTCCTGCTAAGTAAAATACTTCATGACATGATGGGGTCTAAATTAGCTGTTACCACTAAACAAAGAGATTTTGGGGTCATTGTGGACAGTTCTCTGAAAACATCTGTTCAACATCAAAAAAGGTAACAAAATGTTAGGAACCATTAGAAAAAAGGATAGATAATAAAACAGAAAATATTATGCCACTCTATAAACCCATGGTATGCCCACATATTGAATACTTCATTGCAGTTCTGGGTAGGGATGTAAAAGGTTAGCCTCACCCTTAATGGTGAGATCTGAATAATATTTTACGACACTGGTGCAACAGTTTATGTCCGAGTAGTACTCAGCTATGATACTTGTAGCTACACTCCTATTTACTGGAAGGATAATTAGCTATTATTGTGTGTCTCAACTTTTAAATATATAGTATAAAGATTGCTTTTCAGGCAACCTCGGGATATTTTTGAGTCCCCGTTATTGAGCATGCAACTGATTATACCTGCAAAAGTTGCCCAACAACCGTGTCACATGTATAAATCAGGCAGCTGTGACAGCAAATACATTATACTCCTTTAGGATATAATTTAGGGATGTAATTTAAAGAAAATTAAAAATATATTTTTACTTAGACCTTTTTATGTAGAATTACATAGATACAATGATATACGGAGTCATTCATTTAAAAAATGGGATCCTGTGTACTAAAGCCTTAGATTCTTGATGTTAAAGTTTGCTAGTCACAAAGAAAAGATGGGCATAGATTTGCTAGTGATTAGTGAAAAGTACTGAAGTTTCTCTAACGTTACCTCCATTCTCAGTGGTAAGTCTTCTGCTTCCGTAATCTCAGAGCTAAATGTATATTCAGATTCATTGCTGCTGTGTGTGGAATCTGTTCTTTTGTGTCCAGGCTTGGGGATGCTCTGAAGTGCAAGTAAAATGAGTTAGTACCAACATTATAGTCACCTGCCTGTAACTCAGTGGTTAGCTTCTAGTGCTCAGTTACTCCTCAGCAAACATAACTTAAGAGAAAAGATTTGAGATTCCTGCTTCCTAGCATTATAACTCAGTGGTTAGTTTCTAGTGCTCAGTTACTCTTCAGCAAACATAACTTAGAGAAAAGATTTGAGATTCCTGCTTCCTCTGTGTTACCTGAAGCCCAGGCATATGGGAGACATTCTGTACTCAATATTATGAGGACAGGTCAGCTTCTATGAGAACTGTAGGAGCAGAAGAAGTGAGCAGTAATGAATGGGAAGGAAAACATGTGTTTATAGGGAAGGAAGTGGCAGCCCAAGATTCAGAAGTGACAAAGACCCTCTGAAGTTTTGCATTCCACTCTGTAATTTTCTCCTTCTCCTGCTATATACACATAAACAACTTTAAAACTATTGCCCAATGGAAAGTGAGTAAACTTAGAATTACCGAATCTGAGAGGCTAGTAAAATGGGCAGAAGCATGTTTGAACACTCTGGTGTAAAAATGAGATCAATATTGATATAACTACAAGAGTAACAGTAAGGCTACGTCTAACATTGCGCAAGAGGGCACAATGTAGATGTAGCCTAAAGGTTTTAAAACCCCCACATAATACGAGATGCAAAGTCCTTCACAATCCACAAAAAATAGTTTAAAAATGTGTCAGAGCAGGGGATTTCATCCTCTTCTGAGCCCCCCGCCCCCACAACATACTATAAAAACCTCCAGGGCCCAGTAGGGAGCACTCAGGGCTCCTAGCTTTAATCACCAGGTGTGTGGGGGGACACCTCAACCCTTCAGTTGTAGGGGGGGCTTGGGTCCCTGTACTTTAGTAACTGAGTAGAAGGGAGTGCTGGGCTCCAGGCAAGGATACTCAGGGTTTCTGACCAGCAGAGCTTCAGGGCTCTGGGTGGGGTAGGAGAGGAGCTGAGTTCTGCAGCCCCATAAGAGAACCAGGGCTCAGGGTTTTATATCTGGAGGGAGCACCAGGGCTCAAGGCACACCAAGTTTCTGCTCCCAGTTGCACTCCCACACTTCAGCCTGGGAGCCCTGTGGCCCTTGAATCCAGCTTATGGGCCCCTAGTTGAGAACCACTGGGTTAGATGATGAAGTGTTTTGGTTGAGCAAAAGCAATCAGATTAAGAGCTAATGTTTAAGGGGCAAATTCTGTTGTGGCAAACAATTCCCATGTACACAGATTTGTGAACAAACTCTGCCCCGACATTATTTCACCAAGTTTTGCTAAAACACTGTCCACAAACAGCACATCATTTTGACATCTCTTAAATCACTTACCACCATCAGATTCACCTCATCCTTGAGGTCGTCATAGCGCTCCTCTAAGCGGCTGAACTCATTCAGCAGATTCTGATACCTTAGCCTCTCGTCATTCAGATCTAGCTCCAGCTGTTTTGTTTCCTCAACAAACTTCTTCTCTAGCGTCTCTGTCACCAAACAGATGATACCAAAGGGTGAACAAGATGCGCCCTGGATAGGGGAGCTGACAGGACCGTCTGGCCTCTGGGCAATGTATGTGCATGCTGGGGAGGGGGGTGGCTCAGTGCTCCCGAAAGGGACAGGGCCTCAGGCAGAAGGGAAAGGGCTGGGGCAGGCAGCCCCATCTCCTCCCTCTCCCTTAGCTGGTCCTCAGAGTGTGTGGGCATGGGGCTATGGAGTGTACCACACCACGTGCCGTTTGTGATTCTAAAGGGCCCAGGCCTCCAGCCACCACTGTTGCCTCAGTAGGAGTGGTGGTAGCCGGGAGCTCAGGGGGGAGGGATAGCTCAGTGGTTTGAGCATTACTGTTGCCTCAGTAGGAGTGGTGGTAGCCAGGAGCTCAGGGGGGAGGGATAGCTCATTGGTTTGAGCATTGGCCTGCTAAACCCAGGGTTGTGAGTTCAATCCTTGTGCCAGGGATTTGGGGCAAAAACGTATCAGGGATGGTACAGGGGACTGGACTTGATGACCTTTCAAGGTCCCTTCCAGTTCTAGGAGATAGGTAATCTCCATTAATTTAATTTAAAGTGACAGCACTGTAAAGTGCCAGTATAGGCTTGGCCTTAACAGTCAGAAATAATTTAATTTAATTTTTTTTTAAATATAGTTTGGTCACTCTTAACACTCAAATTGTCAACTGTTGTATAGCATGTATGATCCTATAAAAATATAGTTTGGTCATTCTTAACACACAAATTGTCAACTGTTGTATAGCATGTATGATCCTATAGTAGGACCTTCAAATTACATTCTAGAGGGAAATGTCGTTCTCAAACCGCAGCACACTAGCCCAAGCTCAATATCAATGCCTGGATAGAGAGAGTCACTTTACAAAAGGAACAAACAAAGAATAAAAGAAATTGAATAGAACAAAACTAACCTGTTATCTCCTTGGCCTGATCATGGATGCGACGATTCAGCTCCTCTTTTTCCTTTTTCAGCAGCGTGTTTTGTTCTTTCAGTTCTGATACCAACTGTAAATGCAAGAGAAGGTTTGGCTGGGGAGAAGGGTTCCACTCACGGAAATCTGTTTAATTTGTGCACCTAAAGCTCAAAAGGGTCGAACTCCTCTGCATCCCTCTAGTAAGAGATCAAAAATTCCTGGTTTTAAACTGTCCTTCAGAGAGAAAAGATCAGTGAGCTAACCATGTCACCTTCACTTCTCAATTCACATCCCAATTGCACCCTCTCCCACATGCAGCCCACACTGAATTTTCAGGGAGAGGTGCCCAATGAATGTGAGAGCCCACAGTGCTTATACTATTTTTTTCTAGGAAACCCAGGTATGCCGTTTAAATTGCACTGCATCTAAAGATACATCAGTTCGAAAAAAATTCAATGATTCCGCCCTATGCCTGGCGTTGGTGTGATCCAAGAGCTTGACTACAGACAGAAGTTGTATTTTATTATCCATAATGGTATAGCCCAAGTGGTTCACACCTTCTAGTGTGCAAACGGTTATACCAAAATAAAACACCTTTATACCAGCATGTCTGTATTCACAGTAGGAGCTGAGTTGCTATAACTGTATGGGTAATAAATGCTCCCCCTAACAGATATATTAATACCAATACAAAAACTGCATCTGCAGGCCAGGCCCTGTAGACATTTACTGGATCGCTCTACAGAAACTCTCTCTTTAACAAAGGACCCAAACATTTGAACACATTTAAGTGGAAAATTATTTCTTTTTTTTTCTTTTTTTCAAGTAACATGCTTTTAGTTTGACAGAGGCTGAGCTCCATGCAGATTTCCAAAAAAGGGTAGGTAAGGAAGGAAGAGATGTGGGGTCCTTGAGGGGAGACATTCAGCTCGAGGGCAGATCAAATCGCTGTTTCTAGTTGTGAGGAGTGCTCCAATCAGCAGGCTTTCTAATAGGGATGTAAGTGGTTAACCAATAAGCCTCACCCTTACTGAGTAAGACTTACCAGTTCTGGTTAACCAGCAGGGGCTGGAGCAGCTTCCCACCCACCACAGGTAGGGGGCTACTCCAGCCCTGCAGGGGCTGCTCTGGCCAGCTGGCTGGAGCAGCCCATGTCTGTGGTGGGCCTGGTCTGCCCCTTACCCCACCACAGGCAGGGACTACTCTGGCCAATTGGAGCAGCCCTTATCCATGGTGCCCTTCCCTGCTCCTCCCCTTTAATCAGTTAACTGGTTAAACATAGGGTATGTCTACACTGCAAGCTGATTTTGGAAAAAGCTATTCTGGAAGATATCTTCTGGAATAGCTTACTTCAAAATAAAGCATCCACAGTACAGGAAAGCCTCAAAATTAGTCTGAGGCAGGTTCCCCTAATGTGGATGCATCTTCTTGATTTAGAACCCCAGGAGGCACGGGGTGGGAGAACAACTTAGAATGGCTCTGGAGAGGGGCTATTTCAACATAGCAGCAGTGGAGCATCCACACACACCCTCTTGTGAAATAACTTTTTCAGAAGAGGTGTTATTCCTCGTGGAATGAGATTTACCAATGCTGGAAAAAGCCCTCTGTTATTCTGATTTTCTTTCAAAGTAACGCAATTGCTATGTGGACGCTAGTACTGTTTTTCCAGAATAACGACCATTATTCTGGAATAACAGTGTACTGTTGATGCACCCATAATGTTTAACTGGTTAGCCAATGAAACAGGATTTTACACCCTTACTTTCTAGACTACTCCACATGCTATACTCAACCTGAGAATAACAAAAGAAAAAGGATCGTTTTAATAGCTGTGCATCTTTAAGATCTCAGGAACAGCCAACCAATGGGGCTTTTGGAGACAGACCATTTCTAAAACTTAGGTATTTAGGAGGTAAGAAGTTCCCACCTGTTCTGTTTCTTGTTTGTATCTGTTTGACCATTCCTCAATTGTTATCTTCTCAGACTGAGTTTGGTGCAGCTCCTTTCGAAGCTTGGCGATCTCCTCTTGGAGTACGAGAACACGGTTGGTGGCATTCTTAGCCTCCTCCTCACTCATGCGAAGCCTTTCCACATCACTCCGCAATTTCTCGGTCTCCGTGGTGTATGTGGTTTCCAAGCTAGTTAGTTTCTCCAGTAGGGATTTGTAGTCTTTGTTCTGTGCAAAACACAATGCAGACATACCAACATTCAGCATAGTTTTGGGGTTTGTTGTAATGGGAACTTTAGTGCTGGTGAAAGGTGCTATACCGTCAGACTGAATCACTCTCTTTATCCACAGAACACTTGATGCTTGGGTCAGAACGATAGCAGCTTCCAAACCTTCATGTACCATGTTAAAATCAGACAAAGCCCATGCATGTCCAGCAACATACTTATTTTCCATTAAACACTGTGGAGGAAAAAAGTATGGAAATGGTATGGAATAGTACTTTATCTAATGATTCACACCTATACGGATCCACTCTCCCCTCTGTGGAAAGGGATATTTCTCCTGACTAAAGAAAACTGATTCCTTTTGAGGACAAATTCCATTTCCAATAATCACTGTGTTTTTCCAAGGATTACTCATAGTTCAAATAGAGAGGCAGGTGATGTGATCATTCACTCTTGGGGCATTTTACCTGCTCATCAATTTTACGCTGCAGTTGCATGATCTTGTTCTCCATCCCAATATTGAGTTTCTTGTAGCGTTCCACAGAGCGCGCCTCTATCTTCAACTTCTTTAGCTCCCTCCTGGCAATCATACGCCTGATGCAGCATTGCAGGTAAACGATTGCCCTCAAGCTCCGATGGTAGTGCACACGAGCCAGCCAGCCCCGCACACGCTTCTGAATAATAATGGCTTTATGCTCTCGAAGCATCTGGGTTTAAAAACAAGAACATTAGATGAAAAAGCCACACACTTTATTCATAGAAAACTAACATTCTGTAAGGAGAGATACGTAGGTTATAACTAGAGACACATCTGTTTGAACAGAGAAACTGCCAGTGAAGGGCAGCAGGAGAGGACCAGGGAATCAGTATAAATAAATAAAATACATACATAAACCTAAGGAGCAAGAG